AAAGCTACACGAGGGCTATCTGTGCTAGCCGTCCCTAATTTAGCAGTGTAAGACTAGAGGGAAGGCAGCTAGTCATCACCACCCACCGCCAACTCTTGGGCTACTCTTTTACTAACGAATAGTGGGATTGACCGTCACATTATAACGCCCCCACGGCTATAACGGCGAGCATGTATGGTGGGACTGGGATTCGAACCCGCGACCCGCAGACTGCGAAGCTAGAATAGACTATTACGAGCATAAACGTTTAAATGTGATTATAAGGTTTTAGTCATTTATAGCTCCTAAAACTTGTTTTGACAAAAATATATATATAGAAAATTTGTGACTTTTAAGAACAGTCCTCCAGGATTTGGTGGAATGATTTAGACTCCAGTTTGGAAGTTTGTGAAAAGAGAAGCTTGACTGCCCCAAACGTATGATCGCTAAGTTAATGTTTTGTAATTCTGATAATTGAAAAGGATTATCTAGTATTCCCGTCGTTTGAGAGTGAAAAAAGACAATTGTGAATTAAGAGGGCAGAGAAGTTCTGCATCTACATAATCTAATACTTTAAAATCTTTTGTCATTCACTGACAGATATTTAATCTTTTATTAAACTTCGAGACTAAAGTAAAGTTACAAAATAACATCTTACTGGGGGTAAGTAAGATGTGAACAAAGAAATACGACTATTGGGTTTTGCTCCTCCTACTACCATGCTGTGTGGGGAACCATGACAGTGTCCTCACTCATTGCGGGAATAGCCATTCCTGCTGCCAACATAAGTTAATAAAGATATTCGACTAAGTTCAACAGAATACGTCATTTAAACAGTTAACTTTGCTTTATTTTGGTTGTAAATCTCTATTTTGGTCAGTGAGACTTCCCGAGAGGCAACCAAGAAAGAGTTCCCAGCATAGATTTTCTTAATTAGTACGTTCATTTTCAAATCAGATATTTAAATTAATTCATCGAGCTTCAAATAATATTAGGACTAATGAAACTGTATAGACAGGAGACTTTAGGCTTCTTATTTTCTCAAACGTGACGAGTTATTGACGTATTTCGTTTACACAGTGTTGTTTAGCATTGTAAGCTTCAAAATAAGGTAATTTGTTAGGCGCTATGTCAATAGATTTCACTAATCAGATACTAACTAAATACAAAATTTTGTTGCAAACACATAAAAAATATTATTTAATAAACAAGGGAACGGAAATAGATAAATAAAATAAAATGTCGTATAACAGCTGTCTATAATAATGCCTAGGATTTGTAGCCTGCTTATTTCAGTATAATTGGTAAAAGTAATTAGAACCGGGCGTAGTCTAGTTGTTGCTGTGCTCGGTTTGTAAACTCGTAGGTTTCTGGTTCGCAACTCGTTACTACCAAAAAATGTACTTCACACTTTAGGGGTGTGAGTATACTATAAGAATGACGATTGAATCTCATTATTTGGTAAGGCAAGAGCAGTTCAAGATATGGAGGTGGGTGCTTTGACTAGCTGCCTTACTTCTTATCTACAAATTCAGGGGACCTGGTTAGGGCGCTCGATTCGCAACCTGCGGGTCGAAGGATCGAAACCAGGCGTAGAACATGTCTCCTTTTCAGCCGTGGGGAACATTATAATATGGTTGGTAAAGAGATGACGATGGACGCTGCCGGCCAGTTAACTTCTTTAGTAGCTTTGCCATAAGCAGAAACAAAGAATACAATTTCTTCATATCTTAATATCAGTAAACTTTATGATATAATTGAGGATAAAAAAGACAAATTATTATATGTAATGTTTCGCCATATTCAGACCAAAGCTCTTTCCTTTCTTCCGGGATCATGAATGCTAGGTGACAGTGAAATCCCACTGTTTGATCAGATAAGAGTAGTCAAAGAGTTAGCAGTTGGTGCTATTAACTAGCTAGCTTTCCTTTTGTTCAAAATTAGGTACGACATTGCGCCTCTTTGTGCAAAAATTCTGTAACAAATAACAAGACTCGTTTGATCAAAAGTGGAAAAAAATAAATATATATATATATAAAAAATCCAGTGCAATTCTTTTCTAAAAGTAACCCAGCAATTGATAGACAATGTGTGTGTATATCAGATAGATTATCAGAACTGTTTTTTAAAGGTTTGTTTGTTTGTTTGAAGTTAAGCACAAAGCTACACAAAGGGCGATCTGTGCTCTGCCCACCACGGGTATCGAAACCTGGTTTCTAGCGTTGTAAGTCCGCAGACATTTCGCTATGCCACTGGGGGGGGATTTTTTTTTAAAAAAAAGGTTGGAACTGAAAGTGTAATGGCATTAAAAAAAACACGCCGAGCCTCATATATTTGTGAACATCTGAAGGCAAATCATTACAAGAAAAAGATTAAATCACACATGAACATGATAACTTAAAAACAAAAACTAAAAAGAAGCATTTTATATATTAAAAATACTTAAACCAATCACAAATGAGCACCCTAGATCGTTTATTTCAGTTTGAATTTTTAAAAAAAGAAGTCCCCAGGTCAGTCAGCGAT